ATAGCCTTAAAAACCTGGCTGTTCCGACAGGCCTGGGGCTAAAGACTAAAACCGAAATCGAATGGAATGACTGTTGTGCTTTTAATGGTGTATGATCTTCATGTTATGTTTTGTAACTTGTCTGTTCCTCCCTTCCCTTGAATTGTGAGCCGCCCTGAGTCCCCCCAGGGAAAAGGGCGGCATACAAATAAAGTAAAATCAGTAAAATCAAATCAATCAATCAATCGATTTCAAGCAGCCTTTTAACTTTTCTGCCCCAAAAGCCCCATTTTTCTTGTCGAACCTTCCAACAGAATAGTAAATCTCTTTCTATTCCTTACTGTATTCAGAATCCTTAAAACAGGCTCCCAGGCTCTCCTGCTCATCCATGCTGGCCTCTTCCTCGCTGTCAGTGCTGTGATGAGCCGGCCGTTTGATGGGTCTCTTTCCTGAGCGCTGTGTGCCAGAGGCTCCCGCAGAGCCACGTTCATGCCCAGCTGCCAACCAGGCCTGCAAGCTGGAGGCCCCTCCCGAGGAGGACGACTGGAGGTTGGCCATGCACAACATGCCTTGGATGGCTTCCTGAGTACTGGGAGATGCAGGAGCATCACTGCGGAGACAATAGAAGTGAGTCCTTATTGTATCAGCACTGGGACACAACATACATGATTTTATCCAACAGACCTGTGAACAACAACACTTCTCAGCACCCTTTGACAGGCCATACTCACTGCACTGACAAAACAGCAATAGCAATAGCACTTAAGCTTATATACCACTTCATAGTGCTTTTACAGCCCTCTCTAAGCGGTTTACAGAGTCAGTCTATTGTCCTCAACAATCTGGGTTCTCATTTTACCCACCCCGGAAGGATGGAAGGCTGAGTCAACCTTGAGCTTTGTCAGGATTGAATACCTGGCGGTGGACAGAGTTAGCCTGCAATACTGCAATCTAACCACTGTACCACCATGGCTCAAATATTACCTCGAAATATGCTTTCATGATTTCTCTTGCAACTTGGACATTCGTATTAATGCTTCCTATAGAGGCTAAAAAAAGAAGAGGAATTGTGATCTAACCAATCTGGATGGTAGAAGGTGAAATCTACTTAAACAGACATAATGCTGTTTAAAGAAAGAAAGAAAAATCTGAAACTCGTCCATTCTAAATCCGTAAGTCATCAAAGCCCTCTCAGGTATAATGAACGGAAAACGTGAAAGGGTTCCATGATGGTTTCAACATATGGCAAATTGTTGACGTAGCAGCAGGTCTCTGTCAACTGGTGATCAAAAAGACTCACCTGGCGCATCCCCCTCCTTGCTTCCTCCCTTGAGTCTGGTGGAGGGGGAAACCTATGAAATCCACTGCCTGAGGGGCCTATAGGTGTATTTCCTGCACCTGCATGTGTCTGAGGTAAAATCCTAACAGTTTGAGGTGGAAAAGGTGCCTTCCCAAAGGGACAGTTGGAAGGGAACTCTCTGGCTCCTCACTCTGAAGCAAAAACAGAAGCCCCACAAGACTCGGTTACCTCCTCACCAGAAAACTCATTTGCTGATGAGAGGGGCAGAGAGCCTACTTGAAATGTTAAAAATATTGTTATTTTGAGTATTAAAAAGCGGTTTACCAGGGCTATAAAAAATAAAAAAAGGTCCACTACTAATTGTTAAAATCAAGCTGTGCTGTACATGGCTCTGGTGCCTCCTTCACAGCAGGCCAAACAAAACAGGCAAGGCTTTGGGGTTTGCCGGAAATAGCAGAGTTCCAAAAGGCCCCATGGTCTGGCCTGCCACACACTCATCCCAGGAAACAGAATCAATGGCTTTTGAAGGATTTCAAGCCACTCCCCACACACCTCCTCAGGCCCCCGTCCAGAGGTGGGTTCCTACCAGTTCGCACCTATTCGGTAGAACCGGTTCGTCAAATCTACCGAACCGGTTGGAAGAGGTTCCACCAGTGGACCCGG